GGAGATCCAACCAGTCCATCCTAAAGGAGATCAGTCCTGGGTGTTCATTGGAAGGACTGATGTTAAAGCTGAAACTCCAATATTTTGGCCACCTGATGCGAAGAGTTGACTCATTGGAAAAGACCCTGATGCTGGGAAAAATTGAGGGCAGGAGGAGAAGGGCATGACAGAGGATGAGATGGTTGGATGGCATCACCGACTCGATGGACATGAGTTTGAGTAAACTCCGGGAGTTGGTGATGGACGGGGAGGCCTGGCGTGCTGTGGTTCATGGGGTTGCAAAAAGTCGGACACAACTGAGCGACAGAACTGAACTGACATAATAAAAATAAATCATGCAGGTAGTTGAAAAATTACTTTCTATTTCTGGATAATTTTTATCCCTTCCTGTTAGTTGTTGTCTCACCTACCTCTCTGCCCACTACTTAGTGGGTCTCACCTTCCTGGCAGCTGTGGCAGGGTGGTGCTTTACGCTACAGCCTGGTTTGTAATGCCAAGCTTCACCTCAGGCTTTGGGAGCATAAACCTCATAGACTCTCAGACTCCTTCCAATGGGTGTAGAAGTGATGGGAAAAATGGTAGCCCCATAGCTATCACGTAGGATCATCTTGGGCTTGGGAGTGTTGTGCTAATTCTTAGCCTGGTTATACCCCACTGTCCTCTAAATTATACTTGATGTCCTTGAAAAAGGCCTTTTTCTAGACAGCCTTGACAAGCCAGAAACCCACATCCACAGTTGGACACAGACCTACAGGCCTTGCAGAGTTCCCTGAGAGAAGATCACAGTCCTTGCCATGTATGAGAGGACCGGAGGAGTTTTTTAAAGGCATAGATTCCTGCCCTTTATTCTCACAGAATTGTGATCCAGGAAGATGAAGAGAATCTGTGTTCATTAAAAGTTTAAAGAATTTTATTCACTGCCACTTCTACCCACCACTCAACCATCCACCTAACCATATCTGTAGTAGATTCACTTTGGGAACCCATTCATCTAAACCATATTCCTATCAGCAATGCAGGAAGCAACAAAAACTACTTTGTTTTGTTCTCGGAATAAAGCGGGCACTCATTCATTCATTCACTCATCTGTGCATCCAGCACAATGCTGAAAATTTGCAGGGAAACAAAAGATGAATTAGATACTATTCCAGTTGCCAGGACTGACTGTGTTAGTTATGGGATCCAGCACAGAATAAAAACACGGGGCCCCTTGTTCAGAAAATATTTATTAAGCGCTTCAAGACAGTGATGGCAGAGCATTAAACCAGCACATGGCCCATCTGAGCGTGGGCAAAGCATGTTCATTTTGGGAACCCACTGACCTAAACAACATTCCTATGAGCAAGACAAAAAGCAACAAGAAGTACTTTGTTTTGCTCTCAAAACAAGGAGAGCCCCCAGCAATGCTGACAACACTGGCCCTGCTTATGCATAAAAGAGAAATCTAGAACATTCCCACTTGAGAAATGAAATTCAAAAAATTAAGAGTCTTTATTTCACTCAATTTTTCTAGTTGAATAACTAGCCCTGACTCTTCCAATGATTGTGCTCAAATAAGAACAACATAGAGTAATGAATTAACATCTTTTATTACTTTGGGTTTTTCCTGGGTGCTACTGCCTTCTAGAAGCTGTAACTATGAGTCCTTACAAATAAAAGCCCCCTTTGTAGAGCTGACTTGGGCGTAAGCAAGTGACTTCCATGCCTTCATGAAAAGGAAAGAATAAAAGTTCTTCATTTCTATGTAACTCACAATAGCTCCTAAGTACTTCCTCATCTCCTAATGAAATGCCAAAAAAAAAAAAAGAATTTTCACTCGACAGCTGACTTCAAACTTGAATTAATTCAAATTCCTTTAACAAATGAGTTCTTCCATACGTTAGTACATGATTTTTATAAAGCTATTTGTCAAACTCATATTCTGACACTTCATGTTAGTAATCATCATGATTCCATATGCAGAATTATGTAGCTGAAGTTGATGGCTATTTTGTTGTATGGCTTTGGGGATCCATAAACTCAAATCTTTGCATTTATTCCTACCCTTTTAAGGTCAAAGAAATTTTTTTTTAAGTGCAGACCAAAAACATGACCGCACTGCTCTCCCTTCCTAAACACAGGGCTTAGGAGTTCTTTGTGTGGCTCCCGACTGTTGAGGCAACTACATTAGCAGCCAAAGTGCCGAAGAATTGTTTCTTAGACATTTACTATTTCACGGTGGTTTTGCCTTATTTGTATTCTGACATAATACTCAGCTTCAGAACATTACAAACAGCAATCAACGAAATTAAAATGAATACAGCGATATAGCATGCGGAAAAGGCAATAGAGGGGAAACAAAATCTCTAAACAAAAGCACATACTGAGCAACAGGATTTTATTCTGTTTTAAAAAATACCTACCCAGATGGTAAGGGATGCTTTCTCCCTGAAAACAGAGGAGGAAAAGCCAGGAAAGAAGACCTCTTGGGCTAGCTTTCTAGCCATTTTTAGAAGGCACTTGAACATTGAAACTTGCTGCAGTGAAACCATGGAAGGATGGCAGAATGTGAGCTGTCCATGACCCACACCCAGTGCTGAAGGATGGCTGATTTACAATGCTGTGTGGCTCCCAAGTGTGTAGCAAAATGATTCAGATAGATAGCAGCTACACAGATATACTCTTTCAGACTCTTCCGTATAGGTTATTACAAAATACTCAGACTGTTCCCTATGCTACGTTGGGTCCTTGTTGGTTATCCTCACTCACTCTAAGGGAAATTATCAAGTGTAGAATCACAACTAATTTTACACAGTGAAAAAACCAAATTTACAAATACTTCCCAAAGTTAGTAAGAAAAAAGAACTCTGCTGAATTGAGTGCACTTTTTAGACTATAATTTTTCTGCAGTCCGCTGACAAATATAATATACATACAATATTCCAGTTTAGTGTTACTTAAAACTAAGAAAAGAATGATATCTGGATGTAATTTTTTAGAACTTATTGTAAACAAAGTTTGTTGTCATCAAAACAGTTCATGTACACCTTAGCCAGCAAAGCCCGCATGACAGTTCTAAAAGCAAGATGATTATTCTTCAGAATTACTCTTTTTAAAATACAAACTCTGGGGATTGATTTGTAAGTTTGGGGTGAGGCCGAGTATGTTTTATTTTTTAAAATAAAAAATGTTAAACTCCCTAGATGGTTCTGAGATGCAACTGAGGCTCAGAATCACAGCTCTGAACTAATCGTTCTGAAAGTGTGGTCCCCAGACCAGCAGCATCAGCAACATACAGGAACCTGTCTCAATGCAGCTTCTGGAGCATCACCCAAGGCTACTGAATTAGGAGTTCACTCGGGGGAGGCAAAACACTCCACAGTCGAACAAGCCCTCCAGGTGATTCTGATTCATGTTAAAGTTTTAAAATTGGCTTGGTCAAAAGCATCTGTCTTGTGATTAGTAAAACAAAGCTACCAGATCTTTCACCAGATTTGTTTTTATAGTTTCTACCTGCAACACTAATCAAAATAAATCTCAGAAACATATTACTCCATATAAGGATCTAACATGGTCCCATCACTTCATGGCAAATAGATGGGGAAACAGTGGGAGACTTTATTTTTTTGGGCTCCAGAATCACTGCAGATGGTGATTCCAGCCATGAAATTAAAAGACGCTTACTCCTTGGGAAAAAAGTTATGACCAACCTAGACAACATATTAAAAAGCAGAGATGTTACTTTGCCAACAAAGGGCCATCTAGTCAAAGCTATGATTTTTCCAGTGGTCATGTATGGATGTGAGAGTTGGACTATAAAGAAAGCTGAGCGCCAAAGAATTGATGCTTTTGAACTGTGGTGTTGGAGAAAACTCTTGAGAGTCCCTTGGACTGCAAGGAGATCCAACCAGTCCATCCTAAAGGCAATCGGTCCTGAATATTCATTGGAAGGACTGATGTTGAAGCTGAAACTCCAATACTTTGGGCACCTGATGTGAAGAACTGACTCATTTGAAAAGACCCAGATGCTGGGAAAGATTGAGGGCAGGAGGAGAAGGGGACAACAGAGGATGAGATGGTTGGATGGCATTACCGACTCAATGGACATGAATTTGGGTAGGCTCCAGGAGTTGGTGATGGACAGGGAGGCCTGGCATGCTGCAGTCAATGGGGTCACAAAGAGTCGGATACGACTGAGCAACTGAACTGAAGGATCTAACAGCTGATACTTTGGAAAAGTCCCCTCAAGCAATGATTTCTGCCACCTGATCTCAGACTCTAGCTTCTTCCCCACTTACAGCAGGGGTCAGAAATCTTCTGCTGTAAAGGCCAACCAAATATTTAGCACAATAGGTCACATGGTCTCTCTCTCTCACTCAAGTCTGCCAGTCACGTTACACAAATAAATGGGCATGGTTGTGCACCATTTAAACTTTATTTATGAAAATGAGTATCAGGACAGATTTGGCTCAAGAACTGTACTTTACTGACCACTGGGTTTAAGAAGTGATGGCAGGCTAATAGAGAAAAAGCAAAATAAAATGCACACTCTCCCATAAGCACAAACTTATCCAGTCTGGAAGCTGCTTCCAGGTGAAGGACAGACTACAAGAAAAATTATGTATCTCATATATTCACCTATGCCTTACTCCCACAACAACCATTAATTAGGCGCATACTATAATATGTGCCTGGAACCAAACAAAGCCTTGACCCCCCTAAAGACCCAAGTCCAACAGAAGAAAAAAACAAAAATAATTAGAAAGAATGCACTGTGGTAGAGCCACAGACAATGGAATATTATTCACTAGAAAGAATGAGGAAGTGCGCTCGGTGGCCCCGCGGATCTGTCTCTTGCTTCAACAGCGCTTGGACGGAACAGACCCAGGGGACGCCCCTTGCTCCAGCCTCCGACTACCCTCCAACCTTTTTTCCAGTTGCAACCTCCGGAGTCAGCCACTCAGCTGTCCACGATCACCGGGACAAGCCACCATTTTTTAACTCCTTATTACCGACCAATCATGAGCTCCCAGATTCGTCAGAATTATTCTACCGAGGTGGAGGCCGTCGTCAACCGCCTGGTTAACATGCAACTGCGGGCCTCCTACACCTACCTCTCTCTGGGCTTTTATTTCGACCGCGACGATGTGGCTCTGGAGGGTGTGGGTCACTTTTTTCGCGAACTGGCCAAGGAGAAGGGCGAGGGTGCGGAGCGTCTCTTGAAACTGCAAAACCAGCCTGCCGGCCGTGCCCTCTTCCTGGACGTGCTGAAGCCATCTCAAGATGAGTGGGGTAAAACCCAGGACGCTATGGAAGCCGCCCGTCTCGTAGAGAAGAACCTGAATCAAGCCCTGTTGGATCTGCATGGCCTGGCTTCTGCCCACGGAGACCCCCACATCTGTGATTTCCTGGAGAACCACTTCCTAGATGAGGAAGTGAAACTCATCAAGAAGATGGGTGACCACCTGACCAACCTCCGCAGGCTGGCTGGTCCCCAGGCTGGGTTGGGCGAGTATCTCTTTGAGAGGCTCACCCTCAAGCACCGACTAGGAGCTTCTGGAGACCAGAGGCCTTTGAAGAACCCACCTAACATCAGGGCTGCCTGAAGCCCCTCTCTGCAGCTACTAGGCAGCTTTTTAACATCCTGGAGCCCTCTCTCAAGCCTTGGACCAAATGGAAATAATAAAGCTTTTTGCAGCATAAAAAAATTTAAAAAAGAGAGAATGAGCTAGTAGGTCATGAAAAGACAATGGGAAAATAAATGCATATTACTAAATGAAGCCAATCTGAATAGACTACATACTGTATGATTCCAACTATATGACATTCTGCAAAAGGCAAAACTCTACAAACAATAAAAACATCAGTGGTTCCCAGGGGTTGGGGGTAGGGAAGGGAAGAAAGGAATGAAAAGCAGAGCACAGAGTGCTTTTAGGGCCGTGAAAATACTCTGTATGATATCAATGATAGATACATGTCATCATGTGTTGTGTGAGCTCAGCCACGAAGTCACGTCCAACTCTGTGACCCCATGAATTGTGGCCCACCAGGCTCCTCTGTCCATGGAATTCTCCAGGTAAGAATACTTTAGTGGGTTGTCATTTCCTTCTCCAGGGGAGCTTCTCAACTCAGGGATCGAACCATGTCTCCTGAATTGACAGACAGATTCTTTACCAACAAGCCACCTGGGAAGCCTGTGTTATCATACATTTATCCAAACCAATATAGTATAACACCAGGAGTAAACCTTGTTGTAAAGTATGAACTATGGGTGATTATGAGGTATCACTGTGGGTTCATCAGTTGTAACAAATGTTATCATTATGGTGGGAGATGTTGATAATGGGGAAAGCTAGGTATGTAATAAATGGCTGTATCATCATCTCAATTTTGCTATGAACCTACAGTACTCTAAAAGAAAGTCTATCTAAAACAAATAAAATAAAAATATATGCAGGGAATGAGAAAAGAGTATCTCTTAGGACTACTGGTTGAGCAACCTTAAAAAGTAAAAATGCCAGTTAGACATCTGATACTATATTTTTGTTCCAATCATGATGGTTCTATTCCAATAAGTCACACTCTCTGGCCCTTTAATTCACAGACCTAGGCCCATGGTTTCAGGATTAAGTAGACTAGTTGCCTAAGTGAACCCACAGGGCTGAAGAAAGAAGCCTAGTCTAAAGAAGGACCAAACTCTGTAGTAACAATAGTAATAATGACCCCAAACAGCATCCCGCTTTCACCCTCTCGAGTCTCTCACTTTGGAGGTGTCTTGCCACTAGACATTCATGGAGAGAGCAAGTCTGCATATTTTCATTCCTGTATCTTCAGGAACTAAATGCAGTATCTGGCAAGCAAAAGGCACACAATCAATATTAAGTATTAACATGAAGTGGAAAACTACCAATAATTTTAGTGATCACAGAAAAAAAGAAAAGTTGAAAATGTTAGTCGCTTAGTCATGTCTGACTCTTTGCAACCCCATGGACTATAGCCCACCAGGGAAGCAACTGCTTTAATATTAATCAGGTTGTTGCAGGAGAAGCTAAGAAACAGACAAATTAGGTCTGGATCTCCAGGAATGAATAAAATACACCATTTGGAGAAGATGGAGAAAGATATTACAGTAGAAGACACGGGAGATAAAGGCACAAGATTCAGACATTAAAGAAACAAAAGATCAACACAGCTAGATCATGGGATAAAACAGTGAGAAAAGGAAGGAGATAAATTTAGAAAGTGAAGGCAAATTGAGATGTACCTTGTACGTCTGAGAAATTCACAGATGATCCGGATGTGTGGCATTGTATCATGTAATCTGGAAACCATCATAGTCAGGCACCTAAATTTTTTGAAAGCCCAAATAGACCACTCTGGCTGGAGCACAAACAGAAGACCAAAGAGCGGAGTACCACAAGATGCTCAACAGAGCCGGTGAAAGATGGAAGGAGCTGATTGAACCAAAATAGTAACCAGCAGAACAGATGGGAGGGAAAGAGCTGAGAGGCTTTTCCAAACTTGCATAGACATTATTTCCTATCAGATGGAGAAGAAAGAGTTCAAACACATTCTCCCCTTTCCTACCTGGGAGACTTTAAAACAGATAGTGTTAGGAGTGACAGCCAGAGAAGCAAGCTTGGAACACAAAGATAAACCTCAGTCTCTTGGGCCTATGTTGAATTTCAGGCATTTGGGGAAAGATAGGGAAGTGTAGGTCTCAAATGTTTATTTAATAGAGTAACTTACATGAAAACACTCGGTGTAAAAATACAATGCAAACAAGTACTAATATTTTTAACAAGTTTATGACGTGCTTGAGGAAGTGATTAAGATTGTGCATTTTCCTTCTCAGCATGCCCTGCCATCATCACTGCCCATTTGTGTGATAAATGGTAGTAGAAGCAGAGAATGGGCATTTAGTTTGGACTCTTTTTTTGAATGCTTTTACCAGATGACTTCTTAGAATTGAAGGTTTCTAAGACATTCATCAGGCTAACTCTGCAATGACTGACAACAATTTTAAAAATTGATATAAGCAAGATATTCAAACATAATAATATAAGCAACTTAAAGATGTAGAAAGAGGTGGGCTTTCCTGGTGGTCCAACTGTTAAGAATCTGCCTTGCAATGCAAGGGACAGCAGTTCAGTCCCTGGTCCAGGAAGATTCCACATCCAGAGCAACCAAGCTTCACACCACAGCTACTGAAGCCCACAGGCCCTAAAGCCACAGCAAGAGAAGCCTGGGCACCACGAGACAAAGCCTGTGCACAAAAAAAGGACCCAGGACAGCCAAAAATAAGCAAATTTTTAAATGGTTTTTAAAAGAAGATGTAGAAGGAGGGAGTGAAAAATTGATTTGTCCCAAGAAATGCAGATATTCAGATGCCAACTAGGCTTGCACCTTCAAAAAGACATCAGCGTGACCTCCACTTCCCCATTCCCCACTCCCCATCTCCCCCACCCACACTGCTGAACTATCCCACAGAAAAGAATGTCACAGAGAATCAATACTATCCTAAAGCCTTAGGATGTATCTATATTCCCAGGTTGGATTTCTAGAAATGACAATGTGAAAATTGCTGGCTGGGCTAAAAACTAACTATGCTCTTGAAGATGACAGACTCCCTGGGTTTTTTGGACACAACTATATCAACTCTAGAACTAGTTTGATATTGCTGGCTTCTTGCCCAGACTCCAGTTAATGCTTGAGTATTTCTAATCCTGTATAGGTACAATGTTCCTTTCCTTAAGTTGCTAAAACCAAAGCTAAGAGTCAGCCTAATTAATGGAAAATTCATGTATTAAATCAAAAGCAACCAGGGACAAGGATGAACATCTTTCAGGCTATACAAGATAATTCATTAGCTCTTTTCAGACTGCTACAAAAAAAAAAAATTGATGAAGGGTAGATGAAAGTGTTCTATATTATATTATTAAAATACATGTAGTCCCTCTATAAAAAAAAATACTTGGGGGTGTGTACTGATCTAGGTTTTAAGAATGAACAAAACAAGAGCTGTGTGCATGCGCAGTCTTGTCTGACTCTGAGACTCCACCGACTGCAGCCTGCCAGAGTCCTCTGTCCACGGGATCTCCCCAGGTGAGAATATTGGAGTGGGTTGCCATTTCCTCCTCCACTGCATCTTCCCGACCCAGGGATCAAACTCCCATCTCCTGCGGCTCCTGCATTGGCAGCATTCTTAACTACTGAGCCCCTTGGGAAACACAAACAGCAGCTGAGCCTTGTTCAAATCCTCAATAGTAGCTGCTGCTACTGCTATTTAATCATGGAGTTGTGTCTGACATTTTGTGACCCGGTGGACTGGGGCCCACCAGGCTCCTCTGTCCATTGGATTTCCCACGCAAGAATACTGGAGTGGGGACATTTCCTTCGCCGGGGGATCTTCCCAACCCAGGGATTGAACCCAAGTCTCCTGCTTGGCAGGCAGATTCTTTACCACTGAGCTACCTGGGAAGCGCCAAACACTAGTTGAGTCTACCTCAAAATTCGTGGTAGAAATAAGGGGGCAGATATAAGTTCTTCCTCAATAAAGGAAAAGACAAGGAAAACATACACACTGGGACTGAAGTTCTAGTAATATTCACTGTTAAAAGGGAAAATGAAATTTATATTTCGAGCATTGGCTTCAACCACTGTAAGGCAGTCCAAAAATCACATTTTCCTTTTTTCTGTCTCACAGGGAAGAGACACCAGCAGTGGCCAGTGGGGCTGGGACAGCAGCAGAGGCCGCAGCACTGCCCTCACTTTGCACCTGAAGAGTTTTGCTCCTTTGTAATTGGACAAGAGGAGAAAGAAGCAGAGAAAGAAACAGAACTGTCTATCTTTCAAAACCCAAATGATGGAATGACCTTTTTTTCCCCTGTTTTCTTCTTCAGATTGATTGATCGTTAAGCTATCATTCTAGGCAACTGCTGATTGGAGTACTCAGCATTAGAACAAACTTAATACCTAACTAGAACCAGAATGATCATTGCTGATAACGGGAACCTCCCAGAAACTATTCCACTGATAGAGACCAAGAACAGAGGCAGGCCTTAGGAGACAGTTTTTCCTCAGTAAAACCATAGGTCCTTGGGAGCTATAAAAATGATGCTTAAGTTAATTCCACTGAGGATCTCCTGGGCTGGGGATCTGGGAACTCAGCTGACATGAATAGCTAAAGGTAAGAGATCAGACTATTACCATCAGCGCTCCCAGGCAATTTTCGTCTTGGTACAGGTCAGCTGAGAGCTCACAACTCAGGGAGCTAAAGATGCATGGAGTTGGGATATTTACACCAAAATAGGAGGAAGGAATGGATTTCCCTCAGCTCCCAGACTAATAATGAGACTTTAAAGAACTCTGTTCCTTCTATAGAACCAAGTCTTTTGAGTGAAT